TAACCAAGTATCACACTGCCCTGATAACGAACCGGTTTTGAAGAACGTTTTATACAGTAGACAGTGGACAATCTCACTCCCATTTGATAACTCTGTCTTCACCAATCTACTTGCCTCTACATCTTTCCTTTCTGATCCTGAGTAAGCGGGAGATTTTTTTATAACACCCAGCAGACGGGGCGAACCCCGTAGTCATGGGGACCTGCTCTGTTCACTGCTGGATACCGGTAACCTAAGCCCGGGACTTGGAGTGGTGAACTACGCATGGCCCCGCTAGGCTAGGCGTGGTATTGAACCAAACGACAGCAAAGCTGCCTACCACCAAAATGGTTGACGTGCCCTAATTCGTCAATTTTTACTAAATATAATTAATTAACTCCTCGACAGACCGTGATGGTTAAATGGCTCGTGATGGGAAAATATATCAAGTCGATCAGTTTGATGCATCCAGAATGTATATAACGTATTACTATCCTTCGGCTAGCGAAGCTTTATCCATAGGACAATCGGGCTGTTTGTAAACACTACGGACGTCCGGTTCCTCGGATCACGCTTTCTGTACGGGGTCAAACATCCAGGATGCCCTATTTAGCCGTTCACCACTGCTACAAACATTACGGTGTGACTGGGGATCTTACGCCTCCTTTTTGCTGGTTTCGAATCAGTTTTTAACCAATTGCTCTGAGCGAACTGTCAGTGAGTGGTTCACCGACTCGGTTATCGCCCCGGGTGTTGTCTTTGTGTCTTCTCGTTGCGTTCGGAAAATACCGTCACATCAATGCGGTGAGTAGAGAGGCTATTTGAGACGCTTGATTGTGTAATAGTACTTTACGAGGTACAAAGGTAGCGTGACTAGTCCCAATTCAGGACCACAAGGAGGATTTATGATGCAGTATTATGAACTCTCTGCTCTCGCCTTTATCCTCGTACGAGTCATTTAATTTTCGCATTCCCATTAGATTGCATTATTCGCAATTCGTATGCATGTACTGGAAGATTATTTATAGTAAAAATAACTATTCGATGGTAGTCAATCATTTCACCTAATGTCACTAGCGTACTCCGGGCTTTTAGTTCCAGGCTTCGAACTTTGTTTTCACCTCCTTTGGTGGTTGGTAAACTATTTGCTGTTGCTCGGCTACCACCACAATTGTCCTATTGGTACACCGCATAGTTCCTCTACTCAAGTTGCCGGTTGTATTAACTCAGCTGAATTTCTTCGTGTCTATTGAGTTAGTTCCTGCAACTCTTTACACAAAGGTGTACAAAAAACGTTTGATCCATCTTGGAGACAAGTTTTTCATGAGCAAAAGCGTTTGCAAGATTGTGTAGACCTTACCAACTAAGTTATTTAAGCATTTGCTTTTTGGTGCATTTTTCTGGTGTAACCGATCGCCACGGTCACCTGCTTATTCTATCGATCCGCATATATAAGCGATGACCACATGTGTGGTGGTGGTGGTGTTCGCTCGTTTGTCACGTGCCAACTCATCTGATGACGATCATAACCATATGCTCTCAACTGCCTGCATTCGGCTGACACCTCGATTTGTTAGCAGTTTGTACACAAACGTATTTGTGTGCTAGTGCGTGTTGTTGCGTTATAAAAATGTACTTTTCTTCTTTGGCGTGTTTCGGCAACTCGCACGAATGGAATGCCTTTCACCTATCTCCTAACGAAGTTTGATTATCCGATTTACTCACTTTTCTGTACTATCGCGCTTTTAAGTTTATCCAGCTCGATTATCGAAACCACTTGGGGCACTCAATCCCTTCATCAAGTATTTGAGTATCGTTTGATTTTTCATCCGGAATCGAAGGACTTTGACTAAGGTTGTTGATTTTATGTCAATTATTGTATGAAATCAGCCAGACGGAGTCTTGTCCGATCAAATGACTCGCATCTAAAAGTCACCCCAAATCACAATAAAGTGACTGATACAATCGTTTTCATTTTTTTTTTCTTTTTTTACACACTTTGGTGTGATGAACAGCAGACGGGGGAAGCCTCAGTCACGAAGACCTGCTGTTCATTGATTTTAACCGGAAACCTAAGCCCCGGGACTTGGAGTGGCGAACCACATAAGGCCCCTATAGGTCATGTGTGGTATCGAACATTGATTATAGGTATAAAATACTAATTTCGAACTTGCTTACACCCTAGAACAGGAGTTGATAAGTTCGAAATGACGCGATGAACGATTGCGTAAGTAGACCAAACGCAAGCATTATGTATTTTCACATTAGTCTGGTTCCAAATTGTGGCACAGTATTCTCCATAACAAAGCGATAAGGTTTTACGGATGCGATATCGCCCTAAACGAATTTCACAATATATCCTGTGATATCATCACAAAATAACAAAGTTCATGTAGGTTTGTGTAATTTAGAAAGGGAATTTTTCCGTTCTGTAATTGCAGTCATCTTAACTTCGGTATACCGCTACTTGAGTTGGCTGACAATGCAGTAAGCGTGTTAATTGTGGTTCACAGTTTACCCTGTTTACACGGCATTCTGATATTTCTAATAGAATCTTGTTGCAGATGCTAGTGCTAGTCACCCGGGATCCACAGCATGCGGGTTGTACCCGAATTATCTTACCACAGATTGTCACTCTATGTTGCCGATACAGAAAATATATACGAAAAATAACTGAAGTGATTGCTTATTGAAGTGTGTAAAAGTATTCTGGATAGCTTCTGCTTCTCATATACCTGATTCTGATCGTGATTTCTTCCGCATATCCATCAACTGATAACATTTTCACACATTGCGAACGTTTCTTTCGCGTCCAGTTGATTTTACTTTCTCTCTCTCTCTCCATTTCCCCAACTTACCTTTTTCAGATTGTGCAAGCGGCAAGCTGGTGTGATCTCAGGATTCCAAGTATTTTACGTGTTTTCTATCTGTCATTATTTTTCTAATGTTCAGCTTATCTACCATCTTCAGTCCCAGTGATAATTTACGACTAATATCATAGCGTTGACTTCAAGCTCACCGGAACTATCTATACTTTTCTACTTTTGTGTTGTCATTTTGTGTGAAAGCCTCTGATAAGCGCCTCTTTTCTCTTACCACACCCGGTTTTTGGTTCTTTCACTTTGTATCCTCACTACTCTTATTCTTGGTGGCCTGTTTCTATGTCTGCGTCGTATATTCATCGCGACCCGCTTGTGTTAAGCCCTACAACGATACAGTTACTCTCTTCAAAAAACGGCACCCTTGGATGTCAGAATGAAGGTTTCATGGCTTCCTCAGGGAGAACGTATCTTGAGCGACCGGTTCCGTCCACGTCCCCTTCATGTGGTACCAAACTCAGTCCACCAGCTCCCCAAACTCAGGTATCCCTCCAATCACCCAAAATGTCACCAGATTCCACCCTGACTCACTATCATCCTCCATCCAACACAACTCCATCGTCGGCAACACCTGTATCTCACTTCTCATCAGGTAGCAGTGCTGTTGGTCAATGTGCTTCCAGTTGTGCTTCGTCTTCATCATCCCTCGGTGATGGATTTCTGCGTTCAGCTCTAACGTCCGCTGTGAACACAGATAATCTGAACAACAGCTGTCTCAAGCTTAGTAACCTGAATGAGTCGCACACAGTGGGAAGTTCTACTGGAAATGGGCTATCAGTGCTCGGCTCTATGTCTTCAGCCGCGAAAGTCGATGCCAACTCGGCTGCCATGATGGCCATGATGATGCGACCTCGCGCAATGACTGCCGCTTCCAATCCGACCCGTTCAATGACGCCCACAAAAAACACATCAATTGCAATGGCATCCTCAGCTCCGGTTAGTGCCCCTACTCCGTCCAGCACAACCCCCGTTAAGAAATCTTCTCGGCGCAATCCGTGGGGCTCCGAAACTTACTCCGATCTGATTTCTATCGCGATTCATTCGTATCCGGATCAACAAGCCACTCTACAACAGATATATGATTTCATTATCTCGAACTACGAGTATTTCCGCGAGCGGAGTGACCCAACCAGTTCGGCAGGTTGGAAGGTAAGTCTTCTGAGTACTGTGTTGCTGCAATTCAGACTGTTTGTACATACAAAACTCTAAAGCGAGCAGTATTTTGTTAGTCTTGCAATTCGACTTTTCTACCAGGCGATGTTATCAGTTTGTAAATCCCGTGTCTTACACGACTTTTTAAAATTGAATTTTGTCATTCGGTTCCCACCCATTAACGTGTAAACCTTTGAATAATCCGGTCAAGTTCCCGATCGACTGTCTTGTATAGTGTGTTTCGTTATTTGCTATGGTTTGCTACAACACCGAAAATTCATAAATGTGAGGAGAACAAGGAGGAGCGTGTTTTTAATAAGGCCTAATCGTCAATGTGTGTTGCCCGCACCTCGATTGTGTTCTTCGCGTTCTTACTCCAAACCGGTCGGTCTACCGGTGTGTACCAGCTCCCGGACATCATTTAGCCCACACACTCGTGTGCGAACGACAGTTTCTCCTTCTCTTCTGCTCTAACTCATTAATTGTCCCTTCCACAAATACCCGATAACAAAGAAGTGCTTTCTTCCGACCCATCCATCCCCTCAGATAGATCCTGCCATCTGCACTTCTTGCTGTTGATCAGTGACGAGTTATTTCCATGCACTGGTTAATTTAACCAGGGTGTTGATCGTGTTCTGTTTCAATCACTTTCATCATTATTTCCATTATCTTCACCGTTCACGGAACTTTACTCAGTTAATTGAGGATCATCAGGGTTGATCATTTTTGACGATAATCAGCAACCGCCAACCAATTGTCCTTGGGAATGTGCTAACTGCCGAATGATGTGATGAGATGCGCTGTTTGCGAAGGTGATACATAAAATGGATCAACCATTTACAATTCATTTAGGTTTACTCCTGTTGCACGCCAAATTTTTTAACCTGTGTTTGCTGTCCCCTGGTTCCATACTACCCCTGACCCAGCGGGGTCTTATGTGGTTCGGCACTCCAAGCCCCATGGATTAGGTTACCGGTTTCCATTGTCAACCAGCAACTCTTCGTGACCGTAAGATCCATTCCGTCTGTTGTTCATCACACAAGTGTATAATTTCAAAAGATCAAAAAGTGTACCATGGACTATGTATTCTGACGTTTGTAGCATTTGTGCCTTTTTCCCAAGCCAATTTGCCTTATCACTGGGTGAATATCCGCTTTGAGCTCGTATATCCCATCATCTTTTTCAATCGCTGTCAGACGTTGACGAGCTAATTAATTCACTCCGTTGAGCAATCGACAGGAATTAGGTTTTTGAATGTGCAAAGGCATTCGGATGCAGACATCCAAATGAATCAGCCGTTTTCCGGTAGCATTAGCCCTGAGGGTATTGAAAGTATTCATGTTAGTTCTCATAATTTTTTTAATTAGATGTAAGTTTTTCAAGTTTTGCACACCTTTTGAACTTCGTTTTGAGATAGTTGAATGCTGGTTCGTTTTGGGTAAATCAAAATAGATGTTTGCAACCTCTATTGTTTCCAGTTTTTGATGACTGCCACCAGGGTCCTTGTCACCGCTAGCTATAACAAATTAGGTCGGGTTCATTGAGTTTCATGGATTTGTGAAATTTCTGGTTTTGGTCTAATGAATAACTAAATTATTTCTGCGTTGCTTCGGTTTTGTGTGACTCGTCAATCGACTGCATTCATATCCTTCGGTTACCAAAGCGTTCAACTGCAGCTTTAGTCGGGATGTTTTACTCCTTTTTTTCATCCAGGTTTTTCATGCCGTTTTTAATGAGACCACGCGAGTTAGCGTGTGCCTATGCGTCTTTGATATTCATTTCCTGGCTGGCATCTGTTCACCCACGAGATCGAGAATAGTGGTTTTATAACACATAATCCTCTCGTAGAGTTCACGTGTTGCCCTACCACGCAACATGGCACTTTACTACAACTGCTGTTACATTACTATATTATTTTGTTGGAAGATCATCGTTGATATCCACCAAATCAACTAGGACTCGAACCTTGACACAAAGGATTGCTATTCCGTAACTTTTCTTATCTCAATTATTATTGCTTTTTATTGAATAAATTTTAGAAATAATNTATTGAATAAATTTTAGAAATAATTCACAATTAAGTGGTTGTCTCTAGTTTTTTTGCACTCCGTCGTATCCAGGAACTAGATACTGGATGAGTGGTTGATCTTCATCTTTCCTAAGATTTCTCTACCGTTTTGAGCGTTGTTCAAAGCGAAGTTTGTAAGAACTATTAGTGAGTGATATTGTTTTACCAATCACAGCTTTATGAGTACAGTACCGTCTGATTTGCTGTTGTACGCATTTAGTATACTCCATTTTCTCAATTCATTGTGCTACCAAATCATTTACCTGTTTTCATCTGGGCTATACAATTCTCGCAGTTGATTCATTCCTATCACGTTTCAACGCCATGTTATAAGATTCCTGTGGCTCCAGAGAAACTTCAACATTTCGCCTAAACTTGGCGTAAGCAGTGGGATTTTGATCAACGCGCGAGGCATAGTGTACGAAATATTGACCACAATTTCTCGCTAACTACTTAGATTGATTCAATTTAGTATGGTGTTGATACTACGCATTACCGTATAAAAAAAGAAACGGAATTTGGTTATGGTCTTGCTAAATTGATTTGTCCTAGAAAATTTGAGAGTGCGAAACGCTATCAACCTCACTTCAATTGTCGTCACTTTGTACTCCGTAGCTCGTTACATAAGTCATATTCCAGATGTGTCCGACAATGTTTCGTTTTTCACACGGTAGGTGAATAACGATCACTAAGGTCACGTATTGTGGTTGAGATCATGAACACATCATCTATGGAAATAGAAAAATAGCACGCGGTTTACGGCTATCGAAATAACTCTTTTACAGTGCCTTAGACACCAATCAAGCAAGATTGCTGAAAAATTTCATAGATCACCGCGGGTTGTTTGTAACATTTTGGTGGACCATCGTCAGTATAACTCGAAGCATAAACGTGAAATTCGAGAGATCTCTACTAAAGGTATGAGGTAGCTCTACTCTGCTGATGCAGTGTGCCTAACAAGCACTTCTAAGTGACCGTGATCATTAAACTCTTCCCATCTCCTTGTTTCCAAGCTCTTATAACCTTACCCATTTCAAAAGCAGGATTAACAAATTGATTCTTGTTGAAATAATCCCACAGAGCACATTTCAAACAAAACAACAGAGTAGTAAACAAGCTCGTTTTCAGAGATTTGTATTCATGCCAATACATCTCAATATATATATCACTACTTGGGAATAAAATTGTCATGGGAATATAAAATGAAATAAAATAAAAACAGATTACTAAAACCGATTTCATCGTGAGACCGGAAATCTTACTTGAATGTTTCCCCCACATACTTCCCCTTGCGGTATATCGTTGATTATGGAGGTTACCCCTTTTGCTGTAAATCACTTCGTGTGCAATAAAAATACCTGGGTGTCTGGTGTACGTACAACTTACAAACTGAATTAAACTCACATATTGGGAAAATGAGAAAAGTTCCATGGATAACCGGTTGTGATATTAATGGTCGAGTTGCTTGAGTTAAAAATCACAAACACCGGAATGGCGCGGTGTGGCATTAGGCAACGAGGAAAGTTTAACGCTGACGGTCCTAATTAAATCATGTATTGCTGCTATGATCTACTTTAGAGCAATTCCATCGCGATCAGTCTACGACGGAGTTCTGTCACGGCCTGGCGTGCCTTTTTTCGGATAGGCAGTCTGAGATGGTAATTCTCGAAGGAAGTCAGACTACGAAATATGACGTCAAAACCTTGAACGATTTTATTCTCCTTGTGATTCCAGAGCGTCAGTTAGGAAGTATAATTTTCTGACACGATAATGGCGCTTCACATAGAGCTCACTTTACTAGAATGTGAGACCATGAATTGCTCAGTCTACATTCCGGATTTGAGTTCTCTTGAAAATGTCTGGGATCTATTGACAAAGCAGGTTAAAGCGCCAAGAAAGCTTTTCCAATTGGTTCACAAGTAAGAAATAATTATCCTTCAAGAGTGTGGCACAATAGAAGTTCAGATGCTCAATCATAAAAATCGGTGTGTTTGGGAACCACGTGTATATTTTCATCATTTTCATGTATCTGGATAGATAGCATGTTGACCTCTATTCGCTACGTCACTTCGAAAATGTTTGATGTTAATGAACCGTCCAGTCCACGATACATTCTACTGCGGCCGAAGTCAAATTCTTCAATATTTTTATTCCCATTCCTGACCGAATCGAATTTTGATGCGAAGCATAAGTAGGTGATTTATGTGTGTGTGT